AAGTGACCCGTAGCTTTATCAACGCCTGCATGTAATCAACAACTGACTGCCAATCAAATACAAAAAGTACAATTCATAAACAACAATATGTATTGTCAATTAACATTGAACTGTACAGATATACAGTAAATACTGTGGATATGTGTAATGTTCCTCTCGGGCTGCATTTACAAATAAAATAGAGAAAATAAATAAAATAGCTTTTGAAAATATGTGCATCTTAAAAGTACTTAATTTTAGATAAATAAAATAATGTGTAGCAGCAGCTTGAGTTTCCCTTTTTCTTTGTTAATCGTTTCACATCATGGCTTAACAGTTTCAGCCGATTATAGAACAATATCAGTCTGTACACATCATAACAATTGAACAGTGTTAAAGTTTCTCTTTATTTCCCTCTTATATTGCAGTCCCTCTCTCACTTTTTATTCAGTGTGAGAGTTGAGCTGGAGCTTGTCCTGCCAGGAGTTTACATCTGGGCTGAAATGGTGTCAGGGCCATTCTCATACACATGCAGGTGCTCATTGGTTAGCCTGGAACCATATTTAGTTGTAATGTTGATCCTGGTGGACTGAACATATTAGGCTCTGAGACTGCTTATTTTTGTGACCTCAGTTCTGACTTGAGGGAATGTTTGGTCAAACACTTAGTGTTTTGTCTCATAGTGGCGTTTTGGCACTTTTAATGAGCGCCACGGTCTCTGAACAAATGAGACACACTGGTTCTATGCTCCCAGTGGGCAGGATGAACATGAATGAGTCCACTCAGGGTTAAAAGCTCTGTTCTCACTGTCCACTTTCCTCTTCTTGGAGAGCGCCATGTGTCATTATGTGTCTCTCCCTGTCTGCCGCTAACACGCCTGTTCACTCTCCTCTCCGTCTTCTCTCCCTGTATCGCTAATTATTCTCTTCACTCACTTTCCTCTCCGCTTCTATCTGCCGCGCTCTCATCTCTTCTTCTGTGTTTCTCTCCCTGTATCTCTCTCTCGTCTCTTCTTCTGTGTTTCTCTCCCTGTATCGCTCTCTCGTCTCTTCTTCTTTGTTTCTCTCCCTGTATCTCTCTCTCGTCTCTTCTTCTGTGTTTCTCTCCCTGTATCGCTCTCTCGTCTCTTCTTCTGTGTTTCTCTCCCTGTATCTCTCTCTCGTCTCTTCTTCTGTGTTTCTCTCCCTGTATCGCTCTCTCGTCTCTTCTTCTTTGTTTCTCTCCCTGTATCTCTCTCTCGTCTCTTCTTCTGTGTTTCTCTCCCTGTATCGCTCTCTCGTCTCTTCTTCTTTGTTTCTCTCCCTGTATCGCTCTCTCGTATTTTCTTCTGTGTTTCTCTCCCTGTATCGCTCTCTCGTCTCTTCTTCTGTGTTTCTCTCCCTGTATCTCTCTCTCGTCTCTTCTTCTTTGTTTTTCTCCCTGTATCTCACTCGTCTCTTCTTCTGTGTTTCTCTCCCTGTATCTCTCACTCGTCTCTTCTTCTTTGTTTCTCTCCCTGTATCTCTCTTTTGTCTCTTCTTCTGTGTTTCTCTCCCTGTATCGCTCACTCGTCTCTTTCGCCCCCCTGTCGGCGGTTAAAATAGAATCGCTCCATCAAAATTGAAATCCCCTATTAATATATTGATTATAGGTCCGGGTCCGTATAGGTCGGCATCTGGGTCCGGATCCGGACCACGGTCCGCCTGTTGCCGACCCCTGACATATATGATGGCAGTCTATCAAAACACAACATATTGCAGGCAGTGCCTCAGGCCATGACATGGCTCAGTGGTATGTGTCCGTGTCCTGCAGGCTGTGTGCCCCACATATTATACCCTCTGTGCTACAAGGGGGCGTTCACACACACTAATGCGCGCTACCCGTGCGGAAATTAGGTTTTTAGCACACATGTGACGTCACGCCCATCGATCGGTTTTGGCTTTCCCCCAAAGGTTGTATATTGAGAAGAGGAATCACTCTGTCTCTGAAATTCAAGCCCTTAATATTTTCATTGAAATGTGGGTGGTAAGGGAATGCAAAATAAACTGCTGATTTTATTTTGCTAATCAGACAGTGTAATAATAATAATAATAATAATAATACATTACATTTATAAAGCGCTTTTCCTGGTGCTCAAAGCGCTTAAGTAGTAGTATTAGTAGTAGTAGTAGTAGTAGTAGTAGTAGTAGTAGTAGTAGTAGTAGTAGTAGTAGTAGTAGTAGTAGCAGCATCAGTAGTAGTAGTAGTAGTAGTAGTAGTAGTAGTAGTAGTAGCAGCAGTAGTAGTAGTAGTACTAGTAGTAGTAGGCTAGTAGTAGTAGTAGTAGCAGCAGTAGTAGTAGTAGCAGTAGTAGTAGTTGTAGTAGTAGTAGTAGTAGCAGCAGTAGTAGTAGTAGTAGTAGCAGTAGTAGTAGTATTAGTAGTAGGCTAGTAGTAGTAGTAGTAGTAGTAGTAGCAGCAGCAGCAGCAGCAGTAGTAGCAGCAGTTGTAGTAGTAGTAGTAGTTAGTAGTAGTAGTAGCAGCAGTAGTAGTAGTAGTAGCAGCAGCAGTAGTAGTAGTAGTAGTAGTAGTAGTAGTAGCAGCAGCAGTAGTAGTAGTAGTAGTAGTAGTAGTAGTAGTAGTAGTAGTAGTAGTAGCAGCAGCAGTAGTAGTAGCAGCAGTAGTAGTAGTAGTAGCAGTAGTAGTAGTAGTAGTAGTAGTAGTAGTAGTAGTAGTAGTAGTAGTAGTAGTAGGCTAGTAGTAGTAGTAGTAGTAGTAGTAGAGTAGTAGTAGCAGCAGCAGTAGTAGTAGTAGTAGTAGTAGTAGTAGTAGTAGTAGTAGTAGTAGTAGTAGTAGTAGTAGTAGTAGCAGCAGTAGTAGTAGTAGTAGTAGTAGTAGTTAAGTGTAGGGTTCATTTGAGAGAATAGAGACTAACAAAGAATGATTTTCAGTAGTGGAGCTGAGGAAAGATAAAATGGTCCTTTCTTATACCAAATGCTAACAATGGACACCAGGGGTGTCACCTGGCCTGGGCATTCGGGGCTTTGTGTCATCATGACACAAGAGAGGATGGCAGAACTGTAATTTCCCGTGTTCAGTGAATGCAACAGAGACCAATCAGAGAATTGAATGGAAATAAACGTGTGCCTGTATCATTCAAGCTCGGCTCTGTGTGTGTGTAGCGATAGCGCATTTAGTGTGATAGAGAGAGAGGGAGAGAGGGAGAGAGGGAGAGAGGGAGAGAGGGAGAGAGGGAGAGAGGGAGAGAGGGAGAGAGGGAGAGAGGGAGAGAGGGAGAGAGGGAGAGAGGGAGGACCCGGTGCCAGCAGGGACCGTGTTGTTAGCATCTGGTTAGTTAGCTGCACTAACCGACATAAGGAGCTGTTTCCACAACAAGCTGGAGGAGAGTCCTCTCCTCTCAGACTGAGAGGCTCAGGTGAGCTAAACAAAGGACTCTCTGAGTGTTTAGATAGTTAACTTTAGTATAAGTTATCTCAGTGGGTCTCAAACGGTTTGGTCACAAATCATTCAAAAGATTATCTCCGCGGCACACCTTCATAAGATCATTAGGCTATAGTTTAAAAAAAAACAAGAGAATAAAGGAAAAACAGTTATGAAATCTACTATGCAGTAAAACAAGAATAGAGTTTAAAAGGAGAGTGATTTGTAAAATATCCATAAGGAAAAAGAAAATCTGTTTACAGTTCTGTTTCATATGGGTGTTCCTGTTCCCGCCTGGAACACCACCACTAATGTGCCCTTGAGTAAGGCACTTAGCCCTTAGTTACTCCAGGGAGAATGTCCCTGTAATTGGTAATTGTAAGTCGCTTTGGATAAAAGCATCAGCTAAAATGAAATGTACAGTAATGTAATGTGTTGAGAGATGTATCCATAGATCTCTTAATGTTGCTCTCAAAGTGCACCAGATTGAAGCTTTTAACTTCAATATTTAGCATCCCCCCGGACCCCCCTAGAGGAGGTGAGGTCCGCCCCCCACTCGTAAAAAATAGCACTTTACCCCTGCCTATATGCCGTGAGCTGATATCGAGCCTTCATTGTAACAGTCGCGGGTGTACTGTGTGTGCGGGTAGACAATGCCACTGTAGCCACTGTGGGCTAAGCCCCGAATGTTTTCAGGTCCAGGCGATGCCCCTGATGGACACATTAATCTTTCTTAAATACTGAAAATAAAATTGTCTGAGATCGAAACACAGTTCCTATTATCTCATATCCACACTACAGTATCAAGATTATCTTTATGACAGAGATCATGCCTGATGTCAGAACTTTATACTTCAGCATTATAAATGGTTTTACAGTGTGGCATGTAGATCTTAAAAAGTAGGCTAAGTTAAACTGAAAATAGATTAGGTGATGTCTAAATGTGGTTTAGTGTCAGCAAGTGTAGCTCTCCACCGCCTGGCATCTGCAGCCTGCTGCTGATCTCCGTCAAGTTAGCGAACATCGGCAGTAACACACCGGATGTGGTTATTAAGCGCTTTGAGAGTCATTGATAAAGCGCTATAATAAATATAAGGATTATTATTATTATATTATTATTATTTTTGTAGTGCAATTCAATCGTTAAAATAATACAAACATATTTTCTGGAAATATTAGTTACACACCATAAATAATGTTTGAGCAGGTGTTTAAAATTAGATTAAAATACCGGAAATAATGACTGAATAGCAGATAGTGCTAAGAAAGTATAACAATAGGCTACTGCACATATTTTATTAGATGCAATTTTATTTTAACGAGTATTTTGTCATATCAAATATTTTCCATGTTTTTTGTATATCTTTATTTCCTGTAAATATTTCTTTGAGGCTCCTTCAACAACGCAACATTATATAAGACATAAAACAATTACAAAAAATAGAAGTTATTTTAGTATTTTTCTTACAATGTATCTTCTTATTACCTTGTTAATGCATGCACCAATGAGAATTCCTCGTATGTGTACTTGGCAATAAATCTGTTTCTGAGTTCAGATTCTGAAATGTTTTATTTTGACAGTATAATTTCCTAGACAGGAAATGATACTGTTCATAGTGCCTGTCTTAACAGCGGTCACCTGCTGCAGCAGCGCAGAGCGGAGCAGAAAGCGGGGCAGCTCACTGAGGAACTTGGGGTGAATCCTCTGAACCGCGGACTGTCAACATGGATCTTAACGGCAGCTCACAGGGCGCAGCTTCTGGGAACACAGGGCCAGTTCTGCACTAGCATCTCATTCTGAAGCCCCCAAACACGCATAGGGACGGCTGCAGACAAATCCCATTAGGCACCACAGCTCAGCTCTGTGCTATGGAGGTCCACCGATAAGCACTTGGGGGAACCGGACTCTGTCGGAATCTCGCCAAAATTACGACGGGAATCAAGTACAGCTCCCTGTCGCCCGGCAACGGGAGAGACCACAAGCCACTCGTGATGTCTCGTGCCAAGGAGAGGCTGAAAGGCGGGAATGAGATCAAGGACAGCGTCACTCTTCTGCCGTGCTTTTATTTTGTAGAGGTGAAATATCTATCTATCTATCTATCTATCTATCTATCTATCTATCTATCTATCTATCTATCTATCTATCTATCTATCTATCTATCTATTTATCCATCCATCTATCTATCTATCTATCTATCTATCTATCTATCTATCTATCTATCTATCTATCGATCGATCGATCTATCTATCTATCTATTTTATAATGTTGTTATTCTGCAGAGGTGTAAATGGAGCTGTCTGATTGGCCAGGTTAAACGAATGATGGAGTATGTGGAGACATATGGAGTTGTGGGTATATGCTTGAGATTGAGATGCCACCTAACATTGAGGCCAGGCTGTAATCCTGTGGTGGAGACAGCCATGCAGTTTGAGAACAGTGAGACTGACGATCTGTATTCCCCTCGTCCCTGTTTACCCTGTGCTTTCTGCAGCCAGTGACACTGCAGTCTCCTCAGGATAGTATGATTTCTTGGATGCAGGACGCAAAGATTATACTGCTTGTTCAATACATTAAAGTTCCTCCTCACAATATTTTATGTTTTGTGAGTAGGCCTACTAGTACAGTACAATTCAGATTATTTCAGTTCATCGAAATGCTGCACCTTAATGTGTATTTTATTATATTTTGTATTTATTGAGTGAATACATTATTCCCAATTTAATAATAATTAAAAAACCCTAACAAATATTTTATGTTTTGTGATAATTTTTTCCACTGTACTGAAAATGTACCGAACCGTGACCTAAAAACCGAGGTACGTACCAAACCGAAATGTTTGTGAACCGTTACACCCCTAGTCCATACGCCTCCACACTGTGGACCAGCCTTCCAATTGGCTCAATGTGCGTTCCTTTCACCATTTAAAAATGATTATTGGCATTTTTACTATTAGTGACAGTAGTGTTGGTGGTCATAGTAGTGGTAGTAGCCTTTTTACCCTATTTTTTTTAACAAAAAACATGAATCATCACCAAATGTTGTTTAACTCCCTTTTAGGCTGTAAATAATGTCTCAGACTACAATATGAACAACTGAATATACTATGGAATAGTCACTGAAAATGTCTTCCAAAATTAAATGGTTATCAATTTGATTGTGTACTATCTGATGGATGAACATAATCTAGGGTTACCCATTCATTTCCTCTGGTGCTCAAGTTGACAGGGAATATGAGAGGTGCTAGAAAAGTTGACTGAACCACTCAGAATTCAATGAAAGTGGTGATCAGCAATATTATATTTTCAAATGCCTACTGTGGAGGATATCAAAAGGCCTTGAAGCAATCAGATGTAAAACACAATATTTATGGTTGATGAAAGTAAATCGCTCAAATTTGTCCCGAACACGATTTATATGACGTTTGTTTTGTAATAATCTTTGTTCCAGTATTGAAATGTGAACGCCAACCGAGGATTCTGTATCTAGTCTGTGACAAGCAGCTGGGGTGTGAGGGCTTGACAAAAGGCTTGCCCGCTTGCCAGGGGACGCTTACATCTAAAAAAGCACTTGCCCCATTGTTTTTATGCCAGAGCTAATGATGGAGGTTGCTAAAGAGTTAGCCATCTCGTTCTTCACTGTTTAAAGTTACACATGCACAGTACTACGTGCATTTGACTTTAGTCTGTGTTGTTATTTTTAAGTAAAATGTGGCTTTTGGAAAATAGATTTCTGAGCCTCTTGCCCAGAAACATTCAAATTGTACCCTGCAGGGGCTGAGCAGCACCAACACAGCGTTTCTGGAGTTGGACTTGCTATTCCTGGTTTCCACATTGAACTGATCAAAGGTCCAGGGACTGTATGGAGTCCTGCTTGCTGCTGCTTAGCCCCCACTTGCATCATCAGGTGTTGCATTTTGAGTTGGTTTAGTCTCGCTGTGACCAACAGTGTACTGAAAAATGTACTGACAGGTCAAACTGTAACAAATAGACAGTAGCTCTAGTACCTAACACATGTCTGAGCTACCACAAACCTAGATTGATGTTGGGCAAATATGTATTTGATTTTTAAAGTTCACATTGCCCATTTTTCACAACGTTTGCTGAACAATTACAAAATCATGGGCACACTTAAAGCAGCAGAAGTTGTGTTTTCTAAGGTTTAGTCCTTTATACTGTAGGCTGACCTCCAACAACACTGATCCTTGAATTCCCATAATGCAACTTTTTATTAGACCGTCCAGATAAGGACAAAAATGAACTGTATGTAGAGCTTCCTTTTCTGTGTATTACTTTATACATTATACATATGGACATTATTTTATATAGTTATTTGATATAGTTTGCAACATAGTACATTCAGTAAAAAGTGATATTGATATACCATTCCAAGACAAATGTTATGCCTAATCCATTTAAATTGATCCGAAAAGGATAGATACAAAGATCCTGTCCAATGAACTAACCCAGGGGTCTGCAACCTGTTAGACCAAAAGAGCCATTTTGCCCCCTTTTCCACCAATCTTTTTTGTCTGGAGCCGCAAAACATATTTGATAGCTTATAAAGTCGTATTTATTGTTACATCATAGACAAAAACTAGTTTTTTTGCATTTATTATTTATTACATTATAGAAAACTGTTTACCTCTAATAATAAACAAATAACTCTTACAGTATAAGGAGAATACAAAAACATACACAGGCCAACTTTAAAAGAAATCAGCACAGCACTTGGGGAGTCCTCTGCACATTTGAAGAAAATGAATATAATTAAAATGGGCCCACTTTGAAATAAATAAAACATATAGCTGCACCCTAGAAAGAGTTAACTGATTGAATGATGACTGAAGATCGTCAGCTGTCTTCCTCTCCCTTGTTGTTCCTCAATACGTAAAGGCTGCAGCACCTTTGACAACTTCTCTCTACATATCAAACATACCGGTAAGCCAGCATCGTTTGCTGTGAAAGCAGATAACTCTGTCCACGCAGAATTCAATCCTGTGTTCTTCCGGTACTTTTCTTTTATTTGATTTATCCATAGTTGGCTCATCAAGGTTATTCGCCTGCAGGATAAGGCGCTGGTGCGGGGCCGTAGCAGGATGTGACGCATATTTTAGTTGACCTAATTAAAACCGTTTAAAAAAAAAATGTATGTGTCACAGTATCACCTACAAATAGGAGATACGAAACATTTTTAACCGTGCAACAAAATATAAATAGTCCTACAAATACTTTTATTTTATTTCCTTCTTATTTTTGTCTAAGCTCAAGGGAGCCAGAGCAGGGGGCTTAAAGAGCCGCGGGTTGACGACCCCTGAACTAACCAGATATTAAAGAGGGAGCCATCTCTAGTTAAAGGTATGGAAAAACTCTGGGGTTAAAGCATATCATCCTATATGCCTGGTTAACAACCACATCGTTTAACTCAGATTTATGAATTCTTATATTTGGGTTGTATATGACAAAAATGACCAAGAAGACAGCTAGCATTGAGTAGTACTTAATGTGACCAGACATTTGGCTACTGGTCAAGTGCCCTTTTAAAGTCAAGGAGGAATTTGTAGTAGTTTAAAAGCTTATATAAATAGTAACATGGAGAAGTTGTGTGGATATAGATTTTCCTTTGTATGAAAGCTCAAAGCCTCAAGTTTCAGCACATAATGTTTTACTTGCTATTACCAATTTAATTGGAGAGAAGCCTCCGCAGCGGATGCGTAGCTACGTGATGAGATTAGAGTAGTTGTCAGTTAAAACAGCAATACAAATCTGTCAGTAATGGTGGCTACAGCACAGGTAAACCTGTAACAACAGCAGTGTGACAGATTACACAGGACAATTTACAAGGGCAGATATTCATGACATGACTCATACCTGTAGAGGGCCCACTTTGATCTTTAACGCTGGATAGCCGTGTGTCTGACCCCCCCGCTGCAGCTTAAGATGAGGGGTTCATTCAGTCACCTTCAATATTCTATTTAGAATGATCAACTTTGGTGGGGTAATGTAATCATGTGGCTGTGGCTTATGGGGCTAAAAGGGTGTCTGGCTATTGGACACAGGGTCGGCTCTAGAACAAATCGAATGGGGTGGGAATCATTTACCACGGGGGGGGCACACACTGCCGTCAGCAACCAACACACAAACACCAACGCAACTTCAATTGAAAAAAACATGCTGTAAAGTCTATTGTCTTTCACCAAAACAGAAACATGTGGACATAGGCCACCATATAAAAAGCGTGCACATTTATTTAGTATCCTATCCATGTGAACTTGTTTTAGGTGGGGGGTAGGGGTGGGCGATATTGAAAAATATAATATCACGATATTTTTCAAGCAGTATCACGATAGACGATATTGATCATGATATTTTTTCATGTCGGTTATTATGGTTATTTGTCAAGTTACTTAACAATACAACCACCTACAAGGTAACACAAACTAAAATAAAAAGGAGTCACAGACCAGAATACCATTTCAAGCTGGTTTTGATTCTGCAGTGAATCCCTGAATGAACAATTCAACAGGAATGTTGATATGGCTTCCTCAGTGTTCAAGTAGGTAGGCCTACACAACACAACAACTACACAACTAACGTTAACACTGGTTTCTTCACCAAGTGAAGTGCACTCTCTTGCTAAATAAAATAAAAATATTCAAGGCACAGTTTCTCAGTATAAAAATGCACTTTCTGCTTTAGGCAGCACTAGCAGTGATGTAACATCAATACACATGAAAAGGAGAGTACAACATAACTAAGTAAAACCTCAATGAGGAAAAGTCAGTGCCAAACAATTAAAATGTAAACTTTAGACTTGAAGTGCAATCAAAGACTTTAACATAACTGAACATCTGTTTAAAAAAACACAATATAAATACCTTAATGATAAAATAAATTACAAGCCAACAGAATCAATCAAGACAATAAATGAAGTGCAATACTGTCTGAATCCTGACAGCTTGGTTTTTACTAACCGTTATCAGTATGTAGTTACTTCGGCATCATTTTGAAACGTGTATTACAATTAAATCACGGTAAAATAGGTTAATTTTGTCGTAGTTGGTTTCCACCACAGTATT